GGATAATTGAATGTAGCCATCGTCCCAAGCTCCCTTCACTCCATTGATGTTGCCAGCTAACGAGCGACTGCTGACGATAAATAGAGAAAAATTCACTATAGGCGATTTGTTGATCATAAATGTCGCCTTCCATAGCACCCACCTTCGCAAGTGAATACGCTTTCTCATTGCCCAAAATTGAGCAATGCGAAGGGACCCACGCGAAGGTGATGATGAAAGAGCGCACGGTTAAAGCACTAAGCAGTTCTCGTATTTTCAAGAGAAAATACGAGAAGTGCTTTACCGGCCTAATGGAACGGATAGCCTCGACAGAACTGAGACTATCCGTAAAAATAAAGTAGTGGTGCGGAAGAAGTGAAGCAATAGTTTCCAAAGTGTAGTGAATTGCTGCCAGTTCAGCCACATACACAGAACAAGGAGCTTCAAGTTTTCGAGAAGCGCTATGAAATTCATTAAATACACCAAAACCAGCGAAATCCTCTATTAGAGATCCATCTGTGAAAAACGTTCTTGCAGAATCAACATGGCCAAACTTTGCAGCGTATAATGACGGAGCAATCATAGGACGATGATGCTCTGGAATTCCGCGGATTTCCTGCGTCATAGATAAATCAAAATTCACTGAATTGCCGGAGAAGACTACACGATTGGGAATATTTCTTGAAGGGCTGACATCCTGTGTTAAATATAGTACAAAGTTATAAAACATGTTTGAGGATTTAGCTCCAGAAGCTTCTCAAAATTTTCGATCACCAGTGGGTTCATTACTTCGCAACGGGTGAGGAGCCTTAGAGATAACTCTGAAAAACGGACGGATAGTGGCAACATGCCCGCCAGCACTTCGAGACTCATAGTATGAGTCGAGTGCATGCATCCTAACGCGATACGCAGACAACGATACTGGATCCGTTCCAGCTTGATGATGTGCGTTTTAGCTGCCGACTGGAAACAAAAACTACCATATTCTAGAACCGATAAAATCGTTGTCCGGTACAACGTCAGAAGATCTTGTGGATGGGCTCTCCACCACGTTCCGGTAATTGATCGAAGGAAATTGATCCTTAGTTGGCATTTTCGTCTCAGATACTCAATGTGGGATCTCCAGGTGCATTTGGAATCGAACCAGACCCCGAGATATTTAAAAGACATGGAATGAGTGATCGGTTTACCCAAAAGTTGAAGCTTCGGTTGTGATGGGCTATGCTTCCTAGAAAAAACGACCAACTCAGTTTTCTCCGTGGAGAATTCGATACCTAGCTGAATAGCCCAAGTAGACAAATTGTCCAAGGTATCCTGTAAGGGTCCTTGCAGGTCAACCTCTTTTGGCCCTGTGATAGACACTACGCCGTCATCTGCAAGTTGTCTCAACGTGCAATTGTCACTAAGACAGACATCAATTTCTCTAACGTAGAAATTGTACAAAAGGGGGCTTAAACATGAGCCTTGGGGGACACCCATGTAGCTAAATCGAAAAGCTGTAGAGTTTCCATGAAAAAAGCTCATATGAAGCAAATTGTACAAAAAATTATTCATTAATGGAGATAATCCACAAGCGTGGAGTTTCTCTGAAAGAACTTCAACGGATACTGAATCAAAAGCCCCCTTGATATCCAAGAACACAGAAGCCATTTGCTCTTTCTTAGCAAATGCTAACTGAATTTCCGAGGAAATCAACGCAAGACAGTCGTTCGTTCCCTTACCCCTACGGAAACCAAATTGAGTATCTGAAAGAAGGTGGTTCGTCTCAACCCATTTGTGATCCGACGCGGGTTTATCAGGCTTTTTAATGGCTATCACCCTTACTCGTCTCCAATCGTCGGGAACAATATTGAGCTCCAAGAACTGATTGTACAAGTTCAACATGCGCCTCTTAGCGACGTCTGGGAGGTTTTTCAGCAAGTTGAACTTGATTCTATCAGATCCCGGGGCAGAATTGCCACACGAAAGAAGAGCGAGTGAAAGTTCCACCATTGAAAAAGGCTGACTGATTTCGTCTACCGAATTCGCGGTTTCGCGAGGAATCAACTGCGACGGCACGGAATCCGGACACACTTTTCGCGCGAATTTAAGAATCCATTGATCCGAGCATTCCTCGCTTTCCTTGTTAGTAGACCGGTTACGCATTCTTCGCGCCGTACTCCAAAGCATATTCTTAGACGTTTCGCGCGACAATCCGTCTACAAACTGCCGCCAGTAACCCCGTTTTTTGGCCTTGATGAGGCTCTTGAGTTCACGTTCAAGAGATGTGTATGCGTCGAAATGCTCGCGTGTTCCGCGTTTCCGAAAAAGCTTAAACGCGTCGGACTTTTTACGGTAAACCTCCGTGCATTGTTGATCCCACCAGAGCGATGGTGTTTTCTTACGGATTGACGATCGCGGCACCGGTCGTGTTTGAGCTTGAAGTGCGCTGTCGACGATGAGATTAGAGAGGAAATTATATTCCTCCAACGGCGGAAGCTGTTCCACTGACGATATTGTATCGTCTATCGCGGATTGGAACTTAGTCCAATCGATGTTACGGGTTAGATCATACGCGACGTTAAAGGATTCTGACGAGTTGAACCCACTGGCAATCGAAATTTTGATCGGCAGATGACCACTACCGTGCGGATCCTGGATTACATGCCAAGTGCAATCCAACGATAGTGAATTGGAGCAAAAGGTGAGGTCTAATCTGCTACCATTCGAGGATGGACCAGCCAAACGTGTTACTTCTCCATTGTTAAGTATTGTCATGTTGAAGTTGTCGCAGAGATCATAAATCAAAGTAGAACGGTTATCATCGTACAGCTCTCCCCAGCCTGTACCGTGGGAGTTAAAATCTCCCATGATCAACCATGGAGCGGGAAGTACCGCACATATGTCGAAAAGTTGTTTGCGATTAACAGAGACTCTAGGAGCAATATATACAGAAGCAATACAAAAGCCCTTACCTTTAATGGTAGCCTGACATGCGACAACTTCAATACCGGGGAATTCGGGAAGATTCACTCTATAGAAGGAATGGCACTTTTTGATCCCCAAAAGTACCCCTCCTCCACGTGAATCCTCACGATCCAATCGAATAATGTTAAAATCATAAAAAGGGAGATCAATTTCTGAAGAGAGCCATGTTTCACAGAGGGCAAATGCACCGCAATTATTGTTATGGACTAAATACTTGAACGAATCTAATTTCGGAATAAGACTTCGACAATTTCACTGTAGAACAGTGATCAAATCCCCGACCTCGTTTGGAAAATTATCCATCGAAGGAGATGATAGCTGCAAGAAGGGGCCATTTTGAAGTCAATTGCTTCAAGAAGGATTTCACAGTGGGAAGCAATGTGAGGACAATGCTTTTCAGAGGATCAGAAATGTTGAGGTATTTGAGAATACCGTCCACAATGTCATCAAATGAGAACAGCCCAGATGAAGAAGGGGTTTCTGTTCTTAAAATTGGGGCATCAGGGGTTTTGGATGTCCCCGGAAGAGGTGGAAAATCCTGGGTATAGTCAGTTCTGCGGAATCCAGGAGGAGTAGAAGTCTTCTTTTTTCCACCACTCCTTCATTTGGGCAAGCTGATTTGGGGTTCTTTATTTGCAACAATCCGCGAACGGATGCGCTTTCGTTTCCGTGCAGAACCTTCCGGAAAACTGAAAGAAGTTCCCTTCTCAGCCAAGTCAGAGTCAGTCTCGTCATCTGACAAAAGAGAAAAGGGATTTTTGTCATTGGTCGATGGCGTGGCTGTCTTAAGCATTTCTGCAAAAGACCGCCTGGAACGTTCCTTAAGGGAGCGTTTCATTTTGTCCCCGAGCTGTTTGTACGCCGGGCACGACGAGAGAGCATGAGGAGGAGTTCCGTTGCAGTACACGCATTTTGGTGCAGTAGCTGCGCAGGCGCCATCCTCATGCTTCTCCCCGCATGTGGAGCAGCGTGCCTTGTTGCCGCAGTGGGAGGCCGTATGTCCCAACCGCTTACAATTCTGGTAGTTCATGACCCGAGGTACAAACAACCGCACAGGAAGACGAAGTTTTCCCAGCTCGATGTATTGAGGAAGGGCAGATCCAGAAAAGGTCACCCGAAACGAGCTGAGCGATACTGACTTCATTCTATGAACGGCCAGTATCTTTACCGGAGGAAGCAAGGGGTTTTTGAATCGGCCAACCGCTTGCTTCTCCAGTATCTCGGGGTTCAGACTCACCTCAGTGACCACGCCTTCGATCTCCACATCAGAGGCTGGAATGACGCGCTTGACATAGATGGTCCACAGCAACTCACGAAGAGCTACTGATTCCGATCAATAGCAGTGCGGCTTCTTCTTCCTTCTATGGATGCTCATGTGGGCTGCAGTTCGCTGCTTGCAGGCAGTCTTTCGTTGAGTACTGGAGAACAATGTTCAACGCCACGCGCCGAAAGCACTGCTGCTGCTGCAGCTGATGCCGACGACCGGACACCACCACACACGTTGATTGGAACTGAATCCGATCAGCGGTTGAGGCCAGCCTTGATAGCTAGCTGCTTGCGGGGAGCCTTTCGTTGTGTACCGGAGAACACCACGGAGACCGGATGAAATTCAACTTTGAAATTTATGTTAGGGAAATCGCTTTTCGCATGCAATCGGTGATAATTTTAATTTTCATAGCTACAGTTGCACATTTGTGCAATTTTCAATAGTGACATTTTGAAAAATGATAATGTCTTAAATTTAGCAGATGCGTAGGAATATTTCTTATCGATTGATGATAATATTATTGAAATTTGTTCAGGGGAAACTGAGTTATTAACGTTTAAAAACTTTCAGAATGTTGTTACGCATGTTCCATTTTCGATTTTCGCAAAATGTACCCCCATATAGAAATCACTGACGTAGTGCTACGTCAAAAAACACTAAAAGTTCTGGGGATCCTATACTTTTCTAGTAAATCTGTAATAGAATCTTACATATCCCGGTTGAGTGTATGAAAATTTTACATCTCAAATAACCAGCATAGTAGAAAACCACCCTGTCTCAAAATTACCTGTGATTGGACAAATTCCTCCGCCGGCAGGTGTCCCATGCCGCAGTTCCGCAGTACCAGCTCATCCTTGCAGGCGCTCGCAAATTTGTTTACCATTTTTGCGGTTTGGTTCGAATATTTCGTACCTATCTTCTTCTTTTCAAACACCGTTCGCTGTTGCTTACACTTCACTCTTCTGACACTTGAAACACGACTCGCTTCGTGAAATTATTTAATTACTTGCACCCGAACTGCTGCACCACCGTCCACGCATCCAGTGACACATCCAATGTAGTAGGTACAACCGCGCCGATCAGAAAACAGTTGTGTCCGTGATTGTAGGTTCTGTGGAATGGAATGGAAAGAGAGGAAAACCAATGGTGAACAATATTGTATTGAACAGTACCGCTCCATAGTTCATAACAAGTGAGCGATTGTGGTCAGTGGGGGAGCTTTCCAACACGTACGATTGGATGGGCGCTTCCCCATACGTGCCGGAATGGAGATTGATTTATCGTAGTCAGTGGATACATTTTTGAGTATTAATTAACGAAGTTGTGTGGTTTCAGTAATCAAGTGATAATTGGATTTTTAAAAATTTTATTGGTCTGGTTTGATGATAATTGAACACCTTAACCTACAGGACGGCATATCTTGCTCGAAACAAATGATTACTCTGTATGATTTACAAGTAAATTGCATAAGAACTCAGTAGATAAGCGACACCATACTTGATAATAGCTGTATAGTTTTTTATCAGCATGTCATTTCCAACCATTTGATTGTTGCAATTCATTTTGGGGGGTACGCTTAACTCACCGTGTAGGTATGACAATCAATAAAAGCTAATAGCTAGTTCATATAACACACTGTTCCCCTGTGTTCCTTGTGCGCTATTCAGGGAAACAGGTTTCAAAAAGGTATTATGTATTTTGTCCCCTGATCAAAATCAAAATGCTTATAGCCCGCATTAAAATAGGAAAGGGCCTATGTGACAAACGTAAGCAGTGACGCCAATTTCTCATGACTGACTACAAAATCGAATATAGTAACCATCCTCTATAAATATGCCGCTATTGATTTGCGATTTAATCTGCGTGATATCGACGATTAAAGTCATCGTTAAGATTTGCCACAAAGGCCAATTTCACATTTTTGCCTAGATACTGTGCTCTACATACGACGAGAAGACCGTGCTTCGAAGCACCCACCTGCATGAAGTTTTATTACATCCGCTAAACAACACTACAACGTCAAGTAAATCGGAATTTGTCCCACTCACTCGAACGTCTTATCTGTCGTATTTACCTAGATGTATCTATTTGTGCTCCATCATTGCGTTTAGATGGTCGTTTGCCTCTGATTCACATGTGCAGAGTGTATTTTTTTTTTCGTTTACAAACGCGTAGCTGTCAACATTTTCAGAGAGTCATGATTATTGCAACCTAACCATTTAAACCGTATTTCCCTTTGAAGCCATCAGCCCCGCACTGAACAAGGGACCAACCCCAAACATTGCATTAATTAATTAGCCATTAACGTGACCGTTAGACGTAGATCGTACACCTCTGCAGCCCACCAAGCTCAACGTAATCGCCGTCAGTATACTGATGCAATTCTGAGGCGAACGTCGTCCTTGTATGGGATGACCTCCCGTCCTGTACCGTGTGAACTATCCTCTGTGCTTCTTGCTCCGCAATTGATGAGGTCCATAAAATGTTGTGCGTCAGCATGTTTATTTGTTTTGTCCATCGCACATGGCATCGATCGCAAGGCGGCGCAATTTAGTTTCATAGCAGATGGGCTGTAAATTTAATACCTGCGTATATTGTCACCGGGGGAGCGGTTAGAAACTATTCAGCAGGAATTCTGGCATGGGCCCGGGGCATGACGCTAATTACGCGAAACCGAACTTTTTGTCAGTCTCAGGTGCTAAGCTTGTGAGGTACACCGAAAATAGTTTTCATGTAGCTTCCATTGGAAACGCATGTGATTTTTTGTGGGACTCGCAGCTATGTGATCACAGGAAAGCTATGTGAAATTCACATGGATTTCATCCATTAGATATGTGATAAATTTTTTGAGTGTAGGTTTTAAAAACAAACGATCTAACCGACGTTTTTCACAAAACAAGCAGATTCAATTTTGATACCCGATCCAGGTTGCAACTGAATAATAAACAAATTCGTTATTAGTGATCCATAATTGGAACTGTATCATTAGTATCATTCGAGGTCGGATACTCTTCTATATGGTGTATGGGGAAATTTTGCGAAAAGGTAATGCAAATTTTGATCATGGTGAATCGAAATGATGCCACGCCACCTCATTTCTGCGAGTATTATAAGAGAAATTTTTAGTGACGAACAGGAACGAACAAAAAATAAATATCAGGTTTCCGCTCAACAAATTTAGCTTTCATTTCTGTCTTGAGATTGTCGTCATGCGAATAGATGCCTTGTGATTTTATTTGGAAGATGTTTGGGATATAGAAACAACAAAATTATGTACCTCCGTTGAAATGCTGGGTGATTGAAATTGCTGAATTTTCAGTATCATATATGTTTTACCTATAGTCACTGTATTCATAGTCTGATGGCAAACTGGCAACTTTGAATCTTTCAATAATAATCTGGCACCCCGTAAAAATGCTCAAGCTTTACGTTTTACGCAACATAATCATTTTTATCTGTGCAGTATCAACATCAATGTTTACTATTTTCTACGGCATAGGAGGAAATGTGATAAAAAGTCTACCTGTAAGTATAATATTGGTCGTTTACGCATGAATCGCATCCATGAAAAACGTAAAAATAGCATTCAGAAACGAATTGATAAATGAAAAACGGAAAAATAGCATTCCGAAACGCATTGATAAATTACCATCTGAATTGATTTCATTTTGGTTCGATTTCATTATCGTCACGATCACAATACTTCCACCACATTGGTCTTATAAGAAACAATAATGCTCCCACAAGTGACAGGTCAAATTGACGCCCATCATTATCTCCGCCAGACTATGAATATGAGTGCGGCGTTTCTCGAAATGGTTTAAAAAAAAATCTAACGATCAGGACCAACACCAAAGCTTACGTCCTTTAAACAGCTTCGTTCGAAAGGTAAAGTAATAGAATCTAAATTTTTTATCATTAAATTAAATTTTAAAGTAGTAAAACAAGTACATCTTTGATGACTGTCCAAATGTATTCATACCAATGAAAAAGCACGACTAATTCATTGCAATAATCACTAATGATTGCAGACATTCTCAACAAAGAAAACTTAAACAACAAAATAACGGGTCTTAAGGAAAGCAGCAAAAGCATATTCGACCGTTAGACTTGATATTGATCAGTTATTTACTTGATAAGCATTTTAAAGCTTATTTTAAACTTTACAAAATATTGACGGAATCCAGCAATTGTAATCAAATAATGAGAAAGTCACGAACGAGTTCTCATGGACCAAAGGTGCCAATTTGTGAGCGGTGTTGAGAGGATGTAAACAAAGGCAAGAAAATGAATATTTTTCAAACTTGAAAATTGAAAGTAATCGACTCCGCACCACTCATGGTTTTATTGAACGGTTTCTGGGCGATTTTATTTATTTATTTATCACCGTTCTCAGACTGAACCATTTTACTTATAAACTAGTGATTATTACTAATTCTATTTCTAAAACCGTTTTTAAAGGGTGTACACAATTGAGCTGTAACATTTTGGCCTTTGGGTTAATTTTAATGAAATTTTGGTGAGATGGCCTCAGCGTGTATTATATACACTGCGTGAGTTTCATTGCACGGTAAAGTGATTTGCTGTTGAATTTGCACTACTTGCCAAACATTGCAGTTCGATGTGCAAATCCCTTGGAAGAGATCATATCGAAGCACGATGAAATCAACAGCAAATCACTTCATTATAGATTGTATTGCACATCGTTGTTGATGTGCTGTGCTTCAAACTCGAAATGTCAACCATACTGATATTAACGATCTATCACAAATTTATCCTTGGATTTATATTTGCTGAAAATAGGATTTGTTAAATATATAGCTTTGTTCATACTGCAAGCCTTGTTATATGTTATTCAGAATATGACCATAGCATATAACTACCCAGATCACATGTTTCCAAGTGATATTGAACAACATTGCCAGGCTTGTAGTAGAACAACGAGACATTGAGCAATAAATTTGCTAAGTTTGACACTGTTTTGTAATCGAAATTATCTGAGTAATACGAAAAATCAATACGAAACTAACGATTTTAAATTGGCTCACTACTTGACCGGCCTATTGGTCCCAAGCAAACGATTAACGTACCCCATTATAGTCAACATTCTAGTACTACACAATGTTTGTTTTGATTAGCTATGAAAGTTTGACAGATAAAATGAGGGGTTAGTAGATTTTCTTATGTTTCGAGGGGTGAATCGATTAGAGAAGAGAGTACCAGAGCTGAGCCAAAAAGTTGAGCACGTTTCTTCGGGACCTTCTAGCCTTAGAGTTACCTCTATGTAATACACTATTATTGACTACAGCAACAATTTCGTATTACTCACGCTCTAGAACGCAAATTATTTCGGGGGTGAGATGGAGAATTATCGCTTCTCTCGCTTGACTTAATTTTTGTTGACTTGCCATCTTCACGAGTAATGTTGGTCATGTGCGTTTTTGACATTACATTCCAAAAGCAAAACTAATCAAATTCAATGGATGAAAACATTGCTGCCAATTCAAATTGAAATCATTTTGATTGAAAGGGGTTATACCATAGAGGTTATATAGTACACATTTTTCAACGACAAATCACTTGGTTTCAAAACGCAAATAACATGAAAATCAATGATAAATCACTTCGATTCGTAGTGCCGCATAACAGACTGAGTCAAGTGCAAGAGCATTTGGATTGGATGTGACAACTTTTTACCGTGTGTGAAATTGGTTTCGAAGGAACAGCGTGTGTGCGAGAAAAATTTGCACACTAACCTCAACAACCCACATCATTCGCACCGAGCCATCGGAAATATGTTGGGAATCCAACAATCTTCTGTTCATCGTGTCATAATACGTTTAAAAGAACGTTTAACTGTCAATCGGAAGTAAGTCAGTGCCAGAAAAAGTGTACCGCGATTAGTTGCTGCCTTCAAACGTAAGCCCAACTAGTATTCCCTTCGGGATGTCGCGAAAAAACTGTACCTGACAAAAAGTTTCGTGCAGAAAGCCAAGAATCGAGCAGGACTACGATCATTCAAGGTTCACCAAACCAACATGAACGAAAGAATAGGACAGCTAGAGCACGGGCACGTAAGCTGTACACACACTGTTGACAAAACTCACTGCT